ATTCATTGTATTTTCTAATATAAATAGAGAACAAACCAACACAACACACAAGTTTTACTAACCAACACAACTATTACAAACAAACACACCTATTAACATTAGAAACTACTCATAACTCCCTTACCTTTTAGAAACTATCCACTGTTTTTTTAATTAAATAAATATGTAAAGTGCACTAAACGACACCACACTAATTAACTCTATACTAATTGACCCAAACATTGACTCATTACCCATTCAGTTATATTTGAACGAGCCCGATTAAATCTCACAAGTCAGAATCACGCCCTTACACCACATTAATTGACTCTATATTTGAACGAGCCCGACACCACACTAATTGACTCTATACGAAGCTCCGTTCATGAAATTGATGATTTCTATCCCCTAACCCTCCTGTAAACCCCCGCCAAGTCTCGACCCAAACTACTCCCGTCTCCCTCCACCTATGTCAATTGTACCACACAAGTATAATTGGCGTTCAGAATAAACGCCTAGCGCTGCTGCCACAGAGATGACTAATTATGGGGATGAATCTTTAACTGAGTCTTTTTTTGTTGTCCTTTTCTATAGTCATGCTAACACACTTGGCTGTTAAATTCAGGTAGTTGCCCTAAGGGAAAAGACGCTCTTTATTGACAATCTCTCTTGCGAAACCAAAATATCAGACATGTAAATAGCTCCTTTAATTTCCTCTTTTGTTCTTGGAGCCAGTTTTTCATGACTAATTTTTTATCCTCTATGGTTTTGTTCAGTTTGCTTCTGCGGACAAAGCCAAGAAGGTGAGAATAGTTTTGTAGTAATGATGAAATGTATTTTTAATGTTCATTTGAAAGTCGTGTATACAAAATTACACAAGTAGTTCTTTGTAAGTACCAATGTTGATTAAATCTGTTAGATTGCAGGCGCGGGAAAAGAAGAGTGGTGAAAAGTTGTGCGGTAATTATATCACTCGGCTGAGATAGCCCCAGACGAAAAATATACCGTGGTCGTTTTATTTATCTCGGCATGGTTGAGGTAGCACAGTACCCTCTACGACCCAAGTAAATTATTTCGTCTACATTTTGGAGATTTGTTTATCTTACTCGATTTTTTATATAAAAAATGTCATTTCATAAATCTAATGTGATTATACTTGTTTATTAGGTATGTTGGGAATCCTCCAAGTCCCACACCGGATGGTGAAGAGTAAATGAATCAAAATATATAGGTTCACCCAACCCCATTAGTATGAGGCTTTTTGGGAGGTGCCCAAAAACACATCCGTGAGGGCTTGGCCCAGAGCGGACAATATCATACTAATGCGGGGTTGGGGTGAGGGCACGCGCAGTCCCAACATGTGGTATCAGAGCCCAGGTTCTTGCGGGCGTGAGCAGCGGACTGTGCGGTGTGGAAAAATCTCGGTGTGACGGTGTAACAATAGGACCAAGACCAAGAAAGAGGATCCGCAGCAGGTGCCTTGTGTCGAAAGTCTTCCCGGCGAGAGGAGGTCGGGCGGCGTGTCCCGTGAAGTTGTAGCCACGGCGGTACAAGTTGATTTGGCGGATCAAATAGTGTGTAGCCCAGCGAAGGAAAGATCTGCGATTCGAGCCTTGCGTCGAAAGTCTTCCCGACAGGAGGTCGGGCGGCGTGTCCCGTAAAGAGTGTGCGGCGGTGCAAGATGGTTAGCAGAAAATGGATTACCGCTGGAGGGGAGGTCGAAAGTTGTGTGGTCCTTGGATGAGGGGAGGTTTGTTGGGAATCCTCCAAGTCCCACACCGAATGGTGAAGAGTATAAAATGAACCAAAATATATAGGTTCACCCAACCCCATTAGTATGAAGCCTTTTGGGAGGTGCCCAAAAACAAATCCGTGAGGGCTTGGCCCAGAGCGGACAATATCATACTAATGCGGGATTGGAGTGAGGGCACGCGAAGTCCCAACAAGGTACAACCCCGCAGAGAAGCTTTGGTATGGGATTTAACTATTTTCTTTTTGAATTTTGTTATCAAGAGCACTTTAGGTGAAATGTTTTGGTTTATATGGAGAGATCACAAGGAGTTTTATATTCCAGGAATGAAGACTTCTCACAGAAAGAATGCATTTGGGTAGAAGAAATTAATATGAAGAAATATCATTGTGGTAAGAAGGTTACTTTCTCCTACAATGATGATGATTCATAGAGGAAGATGAATCTCTTTGGTGTTTCAAACTTGTGGTCCAGTTAGTATGCGCTAAAAAGTGTGAATGTTTTGGTGTGAAATCTTAACCAGCCTTGATTAATTTGGTTGACAAATTCATCATAGGTTCTACTATTTTCAAGTTTAGTCTCTCCCCTTGATTGGAGAAGTTAGCTTGATTAATACAGAGTACTCCGTATTTGTGCACATAGAACAGAATTGTTGGTGTATAGTGAAGCTCATGAGAGCATTTACGTTGGTGTATAATGAAGCTAAAACAATATGTGAGTTATTTCTCAAATGGTAATATTAAATTGGGCAAAGTACCCTAGAGATCCATAAACTATTTAAAAATATTCAAATTAGTCCATGTACTCAAAATGAAATCAATTTAGTCTTTATTATATTTTTTTGTTCAATCAGGTCATTCTCTTCGCTTATCTCTTATGTATTGCTCTTATCTTTTAATGATGATATTGAATTTTGCTATAAAAGATAGGGAAATATTGTTTAATATAACAATTCATACTTTTAATCTTATTTAAGTCAGTATATAATAAATTATTTTATTACTAATTTTTTTATAAAAGAAAATAAACAAATAAAACAAATCACTTCATAAGACAAATATTTCACGCAGGTATTTACCAATTGGATACAAATCCAATATATTGCAAAATCGGGTCTCACCAAATAACAAGCTTATACGGAGATCTACATTGGAAGGCAAGAAAACAAAATCAAAATGTGTAAAGTCAGCCAATTTGTAATGACTATATATCTATGCGTGTTTTTTTACAATGTTCTTTACGCTAAAATGTATAAATTCGGTCCATTTTATCACATCAGCATATTTAGCATTGCACTTTAACATCACTACCACTCCGTATTTTATTTAGAACATTTGTATCCCAGTAATTTAAAGAAATTAAAATTTGAATTAAAAATTATTCAATAAAGTGATTTTAAAATGATTGTATTTTTTTTTTGAGAAAATGATTTATATTTCATTGTTTTTGAACATTTTGCATTTGAGATTTAATTGTAGATTAAAATATACCTAGTACCTACTATGTATTAAGTTCATTAGTATAGGTGCTCACGAACAATTATTTATCTTTATCATGATTATATTTCATTGCTATAATTTTTTTAATTTAAGATTTATTTTAATATTAAAATACTCCCTCCGTCCCACTATATTTGTCCACTTTCATTTTCATATATTATCCAAAACACTTCTTTAATCCATTTTATCTTGTAATTTGTATATTAAAAAATTATAGAAATTATATACTAATAATCTATATGTTAAGACAAATCAAACAAGATCATACATGACTATATATAGACTTACACATTGAGAGAATTTGATGAGTCAAAGTGCTTAGATGAACAGTTCCAAAAGTAAAAAATGAACGAATATAGCGGGATGGAGGTAATATATTGTTTATTATTAACATTTATTTCACAAATGAAGATTATGCTAGTAGGCCTACACAATATTTGCATATTTTAAAACCCAAATAAATATGCTAAGTTAGAGAGATTTACCTAAATAGGACTAAAACATAATGACTTTCCCAATATAGACCATATGTTTTTATTTCCCAATGTAGGACCTTTGGTCATTATCAAATAATCATTATTCAACTAAATATCCATCATTAGTGGACATTATTTCTTCCACTAAGTCATTATTAAGTCTTATTTAGGGAATACAAAAGTTTAAGTCTCATATTAAGAAAATCATTATGTTTTAGTCCTATTTAGTACAATTTTCACAAGTTATTACTCCGTAGGTAGTAACATAGGTGGACGGTTGAGTTGTCAAAAACAGTGCCAAGTAAACTATCCACATATTAAAATTCTAGGGTATTAGGTCTCAACTATTATACCAGGAGTAGTAAAAAGATATGATATATATGATGATATGATATCATTTATTCTCTTCGTCCCAAAATATTTGCAACATTAGTTTTTTCAGCAGTCGCGGGAACTTTTGTTTATTTCTACGTTTTCATTGGTTATTTGATAAAATAAAATAATATTGACACCTCTTATTTTGAAGAACTTTTCATGTAGTTTTTTGATATGTAAATTTTATTTTTTATTTCTATACAAATATGTAAATAAAATGATTTGAAAAAACTTGATATTTTATCTAGGGAATACAAATGTCGCAAATATTTTGGGACGAAGGAAGTACTTATTTAGACCCCTTGAAATAACTTTGTCAAATCATTATCTTTGCGTCCAATCACATTGTATTCAAGGCTGAAGGTGTTTACCAAAGAAATTGTTAACAATTTTGTCCAATCTACACACAATTAGACCCTAAACCATAACTCACACGCAAATATTAAGTCCTAAGAGGGTGTTTGGGATTTCCACAAAAGCTGAAAGCAATAGCACCTCCTACATGCTTCTCCGAAACGGTGTTCTATGTACAAAATAGTGTTGATGAAAAGCAGACGCTGACATGCCAAACAGAGTAAAATCACTTCTACTCAAAGCAGAAATTAAATGATTAAAGCATCACACTACCAAACACCTTCTAAATACTGAACACATAATTGATTATATATTCACAAAGTGACTTGTGTCTTAGACAAAAGGTGTAGTCGTAGTCTCCTCCACTCGAACCCACAACACGTTTAATTGCAATATATGTTGTTTTTTGCTTTTTTTTCCTATTGTGTCATCAATTATTAAAAGCAAAACAAAATTTCTGAAATTTCATAAATACTAACTACAGAGAACAGAAAAATCAGGAGCTTTGAAGTCAAGAGTTTTCTCTATTTATTTAATTGATAAACAGGATGGAAGGAGTATTTCTGGAAGACCACAATCTTATTATTAAAACAAATGCTTTGAAAATTCAATTTTTTTAACTTACAAACTAGTATAAAAAAAACTAAGAAAATAAACTACAATAGCACCTCTCTCCCTTGTCCCAAGCCAAACTTTCCTATAGATTCACTTAACACTAAACAAAACCAAGAACATTGGCAGTCCTTCACTGAGTAAGGTTTCAAATAACAAAAGCAGTAAAAAAAAAGTCACAAGAAAAACTGGTCCATAATTCAATCCTCACCATGTAAGCCTTTTGAGTTTTGATTGTCTCTCTCCCTTTTGGTGTTATGCCTTTTTCCCCTTCCCACCCTTCTTGCCAGCACCACCTCTTTTGAACTTGTTCTTCCCCTTGTTGTTCTTGCCAGAGGATTTACTCTTCAAGAACTCTTTTGTGCTTGCCTTTCTCTCCCTCTCTTTCCGAATTTGCTCGCGGTCTTTAATCTCTGGACGCAAATGTGCATTGGGTATCACATGTCGCTTCCTTCCAAACTTAGCACGGCCACCCTGAAATCTACCCGAACCAGCACCGGCTGAGCTTGTTGATTCACCAGCAGTGCTATCCATATCGTTCCCTTTGAGAGAGATTCTCTTGTGCGACTCATTTTTCCATCTTTTGTAAATCCCAGTCTTGTTCGCTTTCACCTTTGCACCCCCCTCTGTCTTAATCTGTCCCCCACATGAGCACACCAGTCAACAATCCCATGCAAAGAAGATGATACAGATCTCAAATTCTCAAAACAAATTATAAAAAAAAAAGATCCAATGAAATAGAACGGCAAGATTTTTGTCCGATGAGATACAAAATTGACAGGTGAAGAGCAAAAAAGTACCTTCCCGCTGGCAGTCACACGGTCCCCATTATTCAGCTTGATGTACTTTTTACTCCTCTGTATTAGGCACAAATAGTTGTTTTTCTTTAAGAAAAGAAGAAGAAGACAAGACCGGCTACAAAGCTAGTTGAAGATAGAGTTCAATGCATCGACTGTACCTTGTCCCAATGGTATGATGTTTTTTGCTTATGCATCCCGTCTGGGTCATCAGCTACTAAATCCATAACAGCAGCATCCAACCTAGTGAACACCAAATACTATCAAACATCTAAAAATATTATATGATGATTTGCAAAGAGAACAATCACATCCTAAGACAAATATTGCATGCAGGTATTTACCTATTGGATACAAATCCTTGGTTACCCCTCACAGAAAGTCCAGCCTCAAAATGCTGAGATCCAGACATCAGTTCAAAATACACAAATCAGTGTTCCAACGAAATACATGCACATGCAGTTCCAAATTCCAATGCCGAGAGCAGTTAACAACCTACTACTTGAAATTCATAGGCCGGTATCTCTCGTATATCTCAAAAAAATTATACCTGATTTGTTGGAACAGAGCTTATGAAGAACTCATCATCCTTGAAGCTATTAACTTTTCTTTTAGATCCAGATTCTCCTAAAAACGAAGTGAACTCTTTAATTGATGAAAATAAAAGATGTTCACATCAAGATGTTAATATGCACTGTATGTGTAAAAGCTTACTTTGATAAAATAGCTAACAAACAAAAGCAAATGAGTGTGATTTAAGACCATGCTCATTTTGAAATATACATAATAATTGGTTGAGTAATAATCTTTGAAGCAAGTATTCCACTCCCTAAAAGTAATAATCTTTGAAGTTTACATCCACAACTACCAATGACAAGCTTCATACTTCTCGTGACAGGTTTTCAAAAACTGAGGATGTACTTCACTACTCCATCACAATATGCAAAATGATTTGTCAAAATATTACTCTCTCTGTCCCACAAAAAGGTAACACATTTCTTTTTTAATATGTCACAAAAAAGGTTCCACTTTTCACTTTTGGAAAAGTTTTTGTGGCTAATATTATTTCTCTCTCCTCTGCAACACTTTCAACCACATAATTTTACTTTTCTTAATCTCTGTGCTTAGTCAAATGTGGAACCTTTATGAGAGATGGAGGGAGTAGAATATAGTTCTTAATCAAATTCGAGTTCTAATTTGCAGCTAAAGAAGATAAAGAGTGATCATAACCTGGTTTCTTCATAACTTGGGTAGAAATGCAGTCTTCAGTCCTATCCTAAAATAGAGCAATATTAAAACAAATTAAAACAACAAAGCAAAATTACTAAAAGGCAGCAATTGAAGTCTTGAAGAGATGAAGTAGAAAAACCAAAAGGTATGGTCACCCTTTTTAAAAGGTAATGAGATGGATCAATTACAGAATGTTGTTTCCAAAAGACATAGAGATAGGATGATTACAGAAAGCTATTTAGAGTAAGACAAAGAAATGGAATCGTTACAGAAAGCTTTACCTTGGACAAATGATCACTGCAGCGCTGTTGGCGAACTTTATTTATGACATCCTCATGGACAGCTCTTTTCATCTTCATCACATCAACCAGCTGGCTTCCCTGTAATTCCACTTCTCAATTCAATATACTAGACAACAGCATTATCTATATTACATAGTGCCAAACAAACTGAGGATTCTCTCTGCATTTTTTGCTTATGCTCATCTGAAATTCTGAATTTGTTTGTAACATTAACTTTGAGTCATAACACTAGAGTATACTGCTTAGAAAATACTACGTATAAGTTTTCTGTGAAGACTAAACAGCTGTTATGTCCTAAAGAGAGAAGGAGAGAGGCCTAGATTAGCTTTGTATAGCATAACAAGAATTCATTCACAATTCATCAGGTACTCAGGTAGCACTAAAAAAATTACAAAAATTACTCGATGTTTTGACTTGGCAGCTTCACCTTCAGCTTCCAGGATGGTTTGCTTTGGTCTAAAAGAAAGCAGCAATTTAAAAGAATATGAGCATAACCTTATTTAAAAAATTATCCAAAGAACACTACATCTAGCCACCTGAAGTTTTTTAGACGTTCCGAAAATGCCGACGCTGCTAGTTCAGTACCACCCAGAAAGTTTATGAAAAGTGGATGCAATCCTTCCCGAGGCAGTTCTTTTACTCTTTTAACAGATTCCCTAGAAGGTTTTGGTTTTGTCTTTGAATATCTACAAAACGCTCTCGTGCATGGTTTTTGAAGAGTCATCAGCTCAGTGGAGGATTCAATGACTTCTCGAACTCTGTCCGAGAGGAGATCTAAAGCGGTTTGGGGAAAATGTCCATAGACAGTTTCTCCTTTTGAAATAGATTGATCTATTTGAGACATAACCCCATCAATATTCTGTAAAACCTCTTCCTCAGAGGGAGCAGCCTTGAGTGGTTTCGATAAAAAGAGATGAAGATCTAATAAGTAAGGCATGTCTTCAGATGTGACAAAAGAATAGGCTGTGCCAGTGCGACCAGCCCGGGCAGCTCGCCCAACTCGATGGAGAAATAGTTTAGGATTGGGAGGGAAATCAAAGTTAATAACATAATCAAGCAATGGGATATCAATCCCCCTGGCTGCAAGATCAGTTACAATAAACATCATTGTCTTTCTTGCTCTGAACGTTGAAATATTGATGTTACGCGCCTCATGGTCCATTTTCCCATAAGCAATAGATGCATCAATACCTTCCTCTCTCATGATAAGGTTAAGAAACTCCAATTGATAAGTGGTGGAGACAAAAATTAATGTCTGCTGATCAGAACTTATTTGCTCTCTGATCAGATATAGGAGAGCAGCATATTTTTCTTCCTGTCTTAGAGTGAAAAATGCAAGCTTCAAGTCAGGGGTTATCTTAGTATCCAAATCGAGCCGTACAAGCTGTGGGTCTCGCAGACCAGCCTTGGCAAACTCCGCAAGGGCACTAGGCAAAGTTGCACTGAAAAGCAAAGTCTGACGATTCTCACTCAGATGAGTGAGAATTGTATGCAATTGCTCAGCAAACCCCATGCTAAACAGACAATCGGCTTCATCAAACACCACATATTCCACAGTGCGCAGGGACAAATCATCTACCTCTGATAAATGATGCATAAGCCGGCCAGGAGTTGCAATCACAATATCAGGTCTTTGTGCCAACTCTTCAAATTGGCTTTCCATACTATCACCACCAACTAATAAGCTTACACGGAGATCTACATAAGAAGTCAAGAATAAAAAATCAAAACATGTATGATTCAAGTAAGCTCTTTGAAAGTGAGGTAAGTCTTAAGCCATCATCAGTCGTGTGCTAATAACTCAAAACCCAAAACAAAATTTTACTCTGTGGGCACATATCTTTATTTCAATAAGTAACAGCAACCTGTAAAGCGCCCAAGCTCTTTGGTGAACTTGAGAGTCTGAAGAGCCAAATCTCGGATGGGAGAAAGTATGAGAGCCCTAATTCCGGCCTGGGGCACGTGCTGCTGGAGCTTTTCGAGCATGGGGACAACAAAAGCAGCAGTTTTGCCGGAGCCGGTCCGAGCCATGGCAACAACGTCGTTACCGGAGAGAATGAGCGGTATGGTCTTCCTCTGAATCGGGGTGGGGAGTCTATACCCCTTGCGCTTGACTCCTCTGAAGACATTGTAGCTAAGCCCGAGCGATTCAAACCCGCCAGACTTGGATTTCTTCCGCTCCTTTTGCCTCCGCACAAGCTCTGCTTTTGAACTCACAAGAAACCCCTTCCCCTTCTCCATTGGTCCGGCGGCGATTGAAGAATAAGGAGGAAGGTATGTTAATCGCAGCAGTTTCCGCACTCGTCGCCTAGGGTTTTACACGCCGTCAAAATCAGTTTTTTTAAAATCAAACCTCCTGCGGCGCACGTAGACCGCCCGGGATCGACGTGGCCGCTGCCCTCCCAGCCTGCGACGTTGTCCACCTTGTTAATCTATGAGTAATTTTTATTTAACTTATTTTTAAATAAAAAATTTATCTGTTACATATATAAAAATAAAAGATAATGGTAATGTGTTATTAATGAGAGTGCATATGTGAGGGTCGAAGGGATAGACATGATAGTGTTAGAATAAAAAGTGCCTCTAAGATGAGTGAAAAATTGATGTGACATGCTAGATAAGTTTGTATTTTAGGACACGTTCCTGGCAGTCTTAAAGAGGATTAAACCTTGTTTGGAAATAGCATTTTCGATTAACATTATCGTCTTAAATAAAATTTTAATGGTGTAAATTAATTCTGAAAACGCTAATGCTCAATGCTACCGTTGGATAGCCTTTTCAAAACACTAACGCTAATCTCTAACATTGATGCCAAATAAAGCCTTAAGTAACAGTTACTCTTTCAAGTTAACGTATTATGCGCATTTAGCATTTCAACTCTAAAAATTTTTCAAATAATTTTTTAAGTCACGTAAATGTCGTACAATTTTTTAAAATTGTTAAGTTTGTCAAATTATTACTAATTGTTTGTCAAGTTAAAATTTTGCAAAAAAACAAGGTTAATCTTTGACGTAATTTCAAATAAAATTGTATTACAAAACATACAAAACAGAATTTGATACACGCTTTAAGTAGTGATATTTAAAAAAAATATAGAGCATATAAAAGCAAAAGTAACTTATTATTATTAAAAAAATTAGACTAAAAAAAGAATAACTTTCTTTTGGAACCACAACACAATATATTATCACCTCAAATCTCAAGCATACAATATACCCAAAGCTCAACATATAATCACCCCTTACATAATGCAATCACTATTAAGTTACTTTTGACAAAAGGTGTGAGGTTAAATTTAACATAATCAACACACTCTAATAGTTTGCATGATATGTAATTTCTTCTTTCTGGCTTTCTGTATCACATAGGGAGGGGAAAGAGGGGGCTGGGGTGGGGGCTGGTGGGGATAGGGTGGGGGTTTATTGGGAGTGTTAGGAGGTAGGAACAGGTATTTTTACAAACGGGACACCGTAGGTACTCCAAACCAACTGGTGTAAGCAATTGGTGTATAAGTAACTAGTGTCATTTTAGACGCTCCTTAACTTATAATAATAATCAAGGATTGGGCCCACACACATGCATGGATGGAGCCAAAAGTTTTTTTTTCCAACAGTTATTTAAAGAAACCTTAACCAAAAGTGTCAATAAACTAATACACTAAACTCTAACCATGCTATGAATGTCTTCCTTACAAGTAAATTATAGCACTCTCTTGCCTCACATTTTCACATTCTAGCTTCTTCGAGGCGAATGTGATTCACGACACGAGAGCTACATCTCGAGAAGCATCATGAGCAGCTAAGGAAGTTGTGGGACCGCCAACACAACCGTTTAGGGCCAAGTTTTGCTTGCTTGAGAATGTTGTTGCCGTGTGAAGCAACTTAACCACAACAAAAATTGCCTATGAATAGGCAGTGGAGGTTCAAATGCTAATCCAAAATGAGGGTTTGCCCATGCTCACAATACATACAATGCGCCAGCAGTCATTTGTGCCCCTAATCAATGTTTGACACCCACAAAGCACAAGCCCACCTCAGCCTGGGCCTGCAAGTCCTCCAAGATTTTAACAAGCTCCTGCCTGTTCATTGCAGATTCAGTTTGTTCCAACAGCATCTTCCTCACTCTAGACATGAGGTAAATATATCAAATATGAAACAATTTCAATAAAATTTCCATATCCAAGCAAAACAAGGTTTCAAAGATGAATTCCGTCATATTTACCGTTGAACAATTGCAGTGTCTCCATGACCGGTGCAGATAACAAGCATGCTGTTCTGAGGTAGATTGGAATACAGGTTTTTAACCCTGCCATCCATGCGATTAAGAATGTTCTTCAACTCTGGTGTTATGTCATACTTGATGCCCTTTTTGTTTGACGGCTTCCTCTCACATGTTTGCAGTGCTATCATCTGTGCTAACTTCTTATTTAACTTTTCGGCGTCATCTGCTTCCTTCTTGAAGAAGGAATACAATTCTGAAAATTGGGTCCAAATAAAATGCACCTTGTTATTTCTCGCCTGCAATTGTGACCAAAATAGGAAGGGAAGAAACAGGGGGATACCCATTAGATATGTAGTGTACATTCATGTCCTTTTTTTGTGGACAAACGATACAAGCCACATTTACTTACCTCTTTATTTGCTTTTGAAAGAGCTTCATCATCAGATGATACTGCAATTGAATGGGATGACTCAGAGGCATACCTCTTCACTATGGATATATTATCAATTATGGAGGAGGTTTTCCCCGAGTCACTCAACACAGTGAGGAGTTTCTTCCGCATAAAAAGTGACCGTGGCGAACCAAAATCAGGTCCTAGTTCCAGAAATTCAAAAGAAGAATTAGGATGAAATTCGGAATGCAACTTCCTCAAAGTACAGTCCATCAAAAGCCCCTCGACCTCTTTCACTTCATACGAAATAAAACATGATATTTCTCACTTCGCAATTCTATTGGATTGTGGTGCCCATAAAAGATGAGATCTATTGTACATAGAGAGATGACATGGAAAGCCTACATGCATTTGCATGGAAAAATATCAAAGAGTAAAATCTTATTAATGTTTTTGCTCAAATAAAGAAATATCAAATTACTCCATCTCAATTGTCATTTTTTAAAAAGGGTTCAGGTCCACAGCTCTTGTCCCAAAAAGAATGGTTTTAAAGTCAACTTTTCTCTTTAAGTGAAATTTATGTGAAGGCAAACGGGAGATGGTTTTAGTAAATTGCTCCAAACAATCTTGGATCTTGGAAATAAATTTTACAATCTGTTTGGTTCAATGAATTTAAAAGGGGGAAGAAAAGAAAATGATGAAAAAAAGCAATTTAAGTGTTTGGTTAGAAAAGAAAACCAAAATCCTCCCACCCGCCCCTCCCTTGTCCCACCATTACCCCTCCTCTACCACACTACATTACATTATATTGGCACCACAGTACAAGCAATTTGAATGCATAAGTTTGTATCTTATGTACTAGCACATAAAGAGGACAGCAAAGTTACCATTTTGAATCTTCAACAACGCCAGCTCCATTGTAGCTCTTGCATCTTCAATGCTATCATGCCCATTTCCAGAATCTTGGATCTCCTTCCCAAGAAATTTCCGGGTCAGAACACGAAGTGCGGTTTTGTAAGAACTTCCTTTTGGGTGTTTGTACAATACAGCTGTGTCAATAACCAAATCATGAATGATCTTTAGAGCTGATAAATCATTCTCTAATGAGTGCCCAACCAGAACAGTCTCTTTATATACCAGTTGTAGAAAGTCCTCCTGAATAGAACAGAATACAAAAAGAAGAGTTTGAATACCAAGCAAACTAAAAGTTAAGAAAGCCCAATACAGAAATGTTCCCAATCATGTAGAAAAGATTTTTCCCGACGATGAATGAGCAAATTATACAGAAAAAGATCCTGCTAACAAACCTGGATATCTTTAAGAGTAGTAGTCACCCCATCTAGCATCTCAAACGTTATCCCACTGTACCTGAAATCAAAGAATCATAAACCACAACGTCCCTGATGCATACCTCAAAAGAATCATAATTGCTTGAGTATAACGATCATGCTGCAAATACAACATCCCTAATAAAAAACAAAAGAATCATAATAGCTGAAATATGACTATCATGCATTCATGCTACATATAAATGTCACTGTATATATACTCATGTAATTGCAATTTCACTTCTAGCCAGAGGTAGTTCAAGCATATAATTTCATTCATGTATCTTAATCCTTTTAAAAAATAGTAAATTTCTACAATAAATTAACAACCTCCATAAGTATGGGTGAAAGTTATATCCAAAATGCTTCTAAAGAGATTGCCATTATAGACTCCATTAATATTTGAAGGGGAAATTGTGCTTTTGTCTATTTCATTTATCTAGTCCCTCAGGCTGCGGTGAGCAAATTCCCATACATTACACATAATGATTGCATATTTGGCCACTCAATAGTTTACTTTTTAGAAAACTGATGTTATGGTTATATTTTGCACATGGATGTATAATATTAGCAGGTTCAATTTCAGATTTTTTGATCACTCAGAGGTGTCTAAATCCATGTGTTCATACATGCAGAAAAGAACCTAACACCATTTATAAAAATTAACCATGGAGAGACCAATTTTTCCAGTTAAATTATGAATGGTCATTCAATGATGCTAATAGAGTAATAGTATACTCCATCCACATCAGCAGGGGCTACCCTCATGATTTTTTAGATATGATGACTTTTGTTTGATAAAACCTGATGGATTGAGAAGGATGTTTTCAAAGGTCAAATTAACCAAATTCAATACCATCAACTACCTACACATGTAAAGGAATGCATGAGTCTAAAAACCAGCAAGGCAAAGAAGATTTCGTGGGACCAGCTTCAGTTCCTGCAGATATTCCAGTGTTTTGAATATGAACCAACTTTTTCCTTTCTGATTCAGTTTTTTTAGCCTATTTCATATCTGTTCTTTACATGCTCTATAAAACTATTATACCAGACTATCATCAACAGAGAAATCTATTTTAGAAGAAAAATTCTTCATTAAAATCCTACAATATGGAAAAGTATTCTCATGAAAAAACTAGTGAAGGTACAAGAAATTACCTTGTATTGTAATCAGTAATCTCATTCAGTGGCTTAACCAATTTATCTAATACAACCTGCAAGATTTTGACAAATATCATTGATTAGAGAAAAAGCTAAGTCATTGGATAAAAAAAGGTTCTCCAGACATCTTGCCAAAATTTAATAGATCAGCTAGCATCATGGTTAGGCGACCTAGGCGGCAACACATAAGAAATAAGGATTGGTATACATTAGTAACACTAAGGAACACAAATTTAAATATAAAAATACGTGTACTCTAGACCTAATCAAAAATTTTAAATACAGATTCTTATAAAAAATTATAAACAAGCC